AGGTTAAGTCCATTAATGGCTATTAGCCAGAATGGGTAAGGAATGGTGTCCCTAGCCTCTGTCTGTCAGAGGGTGGAGATGGATGGCAGGAGAGCAATCACTTGATCATTACCTGTTAGGTTCACTCCCTCTGGGGCACCTGGCATTGGCCACTGTCGGTAGACAGGATACTGGGCTAGATGGACCTTTGGTCTGACCCAGTACGGCTGTTCTTATGTTCTTATGACAACCATCTAACACTGTCTCACTAAAGGGGTTCCCAATGGCTCCGGGAATAAATACTCAGGGAAGTAATGGACATGTTTGGCACATGTAGTTAGTACACTAAGCATTGTTTTGTGGTGAAAAGGTTATTCTTGGCACAGGCTATTCTCAGGCATTTGAATCCTTCTGGATAGCTATAGGATAGCCCCTGAGTTCTTGGGCTAAGTTAAGCACACAGAGTGTTGAATGGTTGAGGCTATGTAAGGGAAGGTATATACAGCTGTGCATGGTACAGAGGCGCCACCTGTATGGTACCAAGAGACATCAAATTGCTCTAGAATTCTGCTCTGCTTTGTCGTGAATGCAAACTGACCTCCAAAAGGCAACAAAGAAGGGCAAATAATTAAGGCATATGTACACCATGCCAGTGAGTCTGTGATTCGACAGAGAGCTCCAAACTGTCCTCAAACAAACAGAATACCTACAGCAGAATACATTACCCAGAGTTGGAAACATTCCTTATTCTGTTGGTTTCACTCTGAATTAGAGGATGTAGCAAAACCCAGTGGTGTTTTCTCTACATGGATGTTGAATTGGAAAGTGCTGTAGGAATATTTTTGTAGCATGTATACAGTTGCTTCTGTTATAACTTGGTGTGCAGGTGTTGACTGGTTTGATACTATGCTTGAATGAAATGTACTTGAAGGAATATTTCTGTTGCAATATTTGCTTGTACAATGTCCATCCTTGTCAATTCAGTAGCTCAGAAGTCTGCCATGTCTTCTTGATGAAATGTGGCTAGTGCCACTAGATCTGCTCACATATTAATTAAAATAAAAGGAGGGTCCAATGCTCATTTAACAGTGGGTCACATGTTGAAAGGCAAGTTTTATGACTCGCATGTTAGGGAGGATCACTGCAGCTATGTGAGAATTCTCCATGATAAGTAAAAACACAATGACTGGGAAGAAGCCATTATGACTAGTTCCTTCTAGAGGCATGGGATGTGTGCACCATTGAAAACAATTGTCTTTTTTTACTTTAGATTTCCCTTCCTCATCAGCAACTTATAAATATCAGTTTCACAGCATCTTGATTACCTGAACCAGTCGTATCAGTTATCAAAACTTCCTTTCCTCATAAAATATATGGAAATACATATATTTTAAAGGAGAATTGCAATAATTCTGTTGGAGTGTGACCATCTCGATTTCCAAGTAAGATACCTATGTTCATCAAAGTGTCAACATTAGCAAATTGGCCAAACACTAGTCGCCTGTGTTGTGGACATCCTGGGCCACTTTGAAATGTGGACTATCATTGAAAATAACCTGTCTGCCACAGGGGTAAAATTTGCAAAAGCACCTAAGTGACTTTGAAGTCAAAAAGAGTCCTAAGCCACCTAGGCACTTTCACATTTTTACCCCAAATCTGCATACAGCTACATGCTTTATATTTTAATCACAAAATTAATAATAATTTCCATCAGCAGCCTCAAAGGATTTTCAGAAGCATCCTGATTGTTGGTTTCAGAGTAACAGCCGTGTTAGTCTGTATCCGCAAAAAGAAGAGCAGGAGTACTTGTGGCACCTTAGAGACTAACAAATTTATTAGAGCATAAGCTTTCGTGGACTACAGCCCACTTCTTCGGATGCATATATCCTGATTGTTGGTTTCTGCTGTAGATAAGAGGAAAGTTGTCAGGCAACCAGTGCTATCATGCTGCATAAACTTTCTCTATGGGATTTTAATGAAAAAGTATTTGAACAGCGAGAGAACAGAGAAATCCGCAAACATTAAATTTCCTTTTGTAACAGTTTAATTTAACACACTTGTGAGCTACAGCCATTTAAAAAACAACAAACTTAGAAACTATTTCTCAGTAAAGTCTTAGAGCCCTGATGAATGCAACAAAATGATGCATAGGACGGCACCATTGCTGGGAAATAAAACAAGAACGTACACAATCTCTTTAAATATAAAAAATTTACATCAGCTTGGAAAGAAACAAAATACAGGTGGTAGGTAACGTGATGGGCTGCAGTTTACATACAAATTAGACACAGGAATTCCCCTTGTCATCTTGGCACTTGTACTGAAAATGGCTTCGTACAGTACAAATCAGGGTGGCACTAAAAAGGTTCACTTATTCTGAACTGTACAATTGTATTGCACAACATCATTTAACTGATACTGGGCTCACTCCTACTTCAATTAAAATCAATGGCAAAATCCCATTTACTTCAGTGCAAGTAGGAATTTATTCACTGTCTACAATTATTTGGTCTTTTTTTTTTTGTATCCTGAAGAGTAACATACAAATGAAGGTTTATCAAAATGTTTTGGACCTTCTTCCAGGGACCAATATAATACGTCCTTCCTAATACACTGAGGGAGTAACTTACAGTCACTATTGGACCCCGGACAGATAAGAACAATGCCTGCCTTGATAATTATGTATCCTTTCCTTTTATAATATTGGACAGTCTAGTTAAAAGAATCAACTAACTTTAACAAAAGTAAAGCTATATAAGCAGAAAGAAGATTTTTAAATTTGTAGAAACAAAGACAAAACCTTAATTAACCACCAAACTTATACAAAGTGTTGTAATCACATGCAGAAATCCAGTTATGCCATTAATAATCCAATTTGTCATTCGTGCCTTCCAGAGGAAAAATGTAAAATAGCAGTAGATGCAGTTTTAATACCTTGTTCATGAATTAGACTAGGATAGCACTCTGGACTCTTTACAAATATATGCCGGGGACAATGTAACTTTTCCTCCAACCTAAATTTGTCTCTTCATTCATGATTTGATGTCCTCACCTCTCTACCTTCCATCAAAACACACTCATATGTACACTCACTTTTACACAGAAAACCAGCAACAGCATGAAAAGGGTAAGGAATAGTCAGTCATACTGGACGATCTGCAGGCCTAATACTCTTGGTGATAATGACTAGTGCAGGTATTTTTCTTCCTTGCTCACTCTGATCTGTCTCTGTTTCTTAAATGATGGAGAGCTAACTTCAATTTGTAAACATTCGTAAGTACATTACAAAAGTGGGTTGCCAGCTTTGAGTCCCTCTAGAAAAAAAGGCAAAAGGCAAACAAAAAAAAAAAAAAAAAAAAAAAAAAA